TTCCCCCCCCCCCCCTCTCTTAAATGTTGATACATCCTGATTTATATATTATATTGGAAACAGTGATGAAAAAATGATTTTCTCGAAGGACAGAAACGACTAATTAAAATATCAAATTGAGATTGGTCGACTAATTATATTCGGTCTTTTTGACAATTTTTTAATTTTAAAACTAATTGACTGTGTAAAAAAAAGAAGATTTTCTATTTTTTCATTTTTTTCATTAATTATTATATATTACATAGAACTATAATATATCGTTCAGGAATCCTATATGGAGCGAAAACACGGTCACTAAGTAAATCGAACGAAAAAGTCTTAGTATACTTATTGAAATCTTGTGGAAAATCTCTGAAGCCCGCCGAGGATGAAGATAGTGGAGAGTGTAATAGGAGAATAAATACAAAGCGTAAAAGCCGTATTGCAATAAAGTACAAGTATAGTAAATGTGATAAGGATGAGAAGAAGGAGAAGGATATTATAATGGGCAAAAAACGTTCATCATAGTAAAACCGGCCAATACAAATTCCTCGATGAATCTAAAAAAAATGAGAAATTATTTGACTTAGGTTCGAACGATGGAAAGTGAAAATAATGGATAGACTATAGTGAAGGACGGATGGTTGAAGTTCGAGGTTAGGATGATCCTTAGAAGCTCGGAAACTAGCGAAATATTATATAATATTAGGCTTAAATATTACACGAATAATTGTTTCGGCTCGTGATAGAAGTTTTTTTCTCAGTAAAAAAAATTCCTTTTTCAAATACCTATTAATCAATTTTGCAGTGCGTGCAGTACCTATAAATCTTCGTCATCGGAAATCATTTTTCACGGTTCGCAACGAGTAGTGTTGTAACATTTTTACTATTATCCGCGGTCTATCTTGTCTGTATGTGCCGTTATACGGTTGCTACCGTAAATGGTAAGTAAGTACGTACGTTTTTTTTTTTTTTGATAGGGCATTTCGTAATATTATATTAAAAATTGTCTATCATGTTTTTTTTTTTTATTTTTTTTTTTTTCGTTTTTCATTTACAATTGACGCAACGGTAGCGGCAACGACGGTACAACAATCCGAAGCATACAATAATGTTCGCGTTTATTATAATGAAGATTCCGCGACTGTTCAAGAACCCTACGTAATATGATGGTTTGTACATTGTATAATTGAAAACTAACGCAACAATATTATTGTAGGTACCTTTGGAATAAAACCGTAACGACCGTTTGATTTATACGGTCGCGCGGCAAGTATCAATTTCATATAGGTTACCACCATATGTCTACCCTTTTGGGTGACAAATTCACTAGGTATACAGTTGTGTTAGTACAATATATTTCTATTATTATTATTAGTGTTTTTTTTTTTTTTTTTTTAA